TAGGCCCTAATTCCCTTACCTGTAAAATGGGGATACAACACCTCCTCAGGTTGTATGTAAAGATCAAATCATATAATGTGTGTAAAGTGCTTGATACCTTGAGGGCAAGTCTCAATAAACTTTAGCTGCCAGCATCATCAGCACTATCGTTTTACAGTGTTAGTTATAAATTTAATATATTTAAAATATTACATAGTATTATAAGCATTATTATTTCTATCTATACTATCTATAAACATTAATTGTAGATACTATATAATATAATTATGTATAATATATGGATATTAAATACAGTCTATAGAGATAAATATATAACAATTATAAATATGAATTATTATACATAATACTATTTTTATAGATCATTTCTAACGATCTATATATACAATTACAACGGCAGATTTTTCAGTACTTTTCACCATATAAATGACCCGGGGGAACCACAGAGCTAGCTAAGCCTTGGAGGTGTTTATGTTCAGGAGGCCTGCTCCACCTCCCAGCCTCTATGCCTTCCTCCTGAGCCAATCCCCAGGCTGCGCCTCATTATTTCTGATCCGTGTCAGTTGCCTGTTCCCAGCCCTCAGACCATGTCACACCGGTGACCTTGTGGGAGCCCTCCCTGCCACCGCCTTGGCCTCTGAAAGACGGAAGCTGCTGGGTGCCTGCAATCTCGGAGGCTCCTCCTTAGATCCCTTTCCCGTCTGCACCTCTTCGCCCTGCGCTTGGCTTCACCTCAAGCCAGGCTGAGCATTTTAACTCCCTAGTGCAGAATCTCCACTCACTTTGTCATCAATGACGTCGAAGCCTCCCCCCCCCCACCCCCGTCTCTTTCGGAGACCCTAGTCCTATGTTGACATCTCCCCAAAAGAGACCCAATGTATTATGCCAAAAACCTCTCCTGCTCACAGCCTGCGGTGGTTCCCATTGTCTCCAGAACAACACCCAAGCGTCAGGCAGAGCAGGAAATAAGTGCACAGTGGCCGGTGAGGCGAAGCGTGTGCAGGGAGGGGAGGACAGGGCCTGTGAGAGGTGGTGGCGTGACTGAGCCAGGATCCACGCAGGGGCTGGAGACTGCGGAAGTAACACAAGATAAAACTGCAAGACACGGTGGTGCCTTTATCCATGACCATCAGGCTAGGGCTGCAGGCGGTCTCTGAGGACAGTGGGGAATGTTAGGAGATTTGGAAGAAGGGGGTGCCATGATCTGGCTGGAACACTTCTCAAAAAGTCACAAGAACCTATGCATGCTAACACTCAATAAATACTAACTTAAACTTGATAAAGAACTAGTTTGCCAATAACTAAAGCCGTTGGGGAATCTCACCCACGCAAGCCTCGCTGTTGCCACCATGGCGAGGGTGGGACTCTGGAAATAATTGCTCTTGCCTTTTTCTTCAGGATGGCACTTTCTTGGTCCGAGACAGCTCCACGAAATCCAGGGCTGAACCCTACGTTTTGGTGGTGTTTTATGGGAACAAAGTCTACAATGTGAAAATCCGCTTCCTGGAGAGGAACCAGCAGTTCGCCCTGGGGACGGGACTCCGAGGAGATGAAGTGGGTATAACGTTCCCTTTTCCATGCTAGAGACAAATGAAGGGCGAGTTTGGGGAATGCTGGCCAAGGCATCTGCACATCCCCATGACTGCAGGAGAGGAGAAAAGAGCCCCGCCCTGGAGGAGGAGAATGTAATTAACCCTCCCAGCCCCCTTCCATAAGCATCCCGCCCAAGTCTTACACCTCAGCCCACGCCCCTCCCACTCCACCCCACCCGCCACCGCCCGACCAGCAGCCAATCCTAGTCATCCCATGCACCCTCAGTCCTGCTTTGCCCATTAGAGAAAACTCACTCTGCAAAACACATCTAGTAAGTTCTGCCTCCCAGGAAGCCTCCACGTTAATGCCACATTCCTCCCTAGCCCCAGGGCTGACCTCCAACTGGCAGGTACTTCTGAGGATATCCGTTAGCATTAGGGATAGGCAGGTTTGCGTCCCCAACTTGAAGATGAGCTTAGTCAGCATTCAGTGCTGCACAGAACATGCCCGTTATCAATACAGATCAGCCGATAGGCAACTAGGTGAAAGAATGCAGCAACTAAAACACTCATTCATGACTGTATTGATAGGTCAAAAAGAAAGGAGATGCGTTTTCACTGCAGAGGTTTATGCTAGGCCTGGTGGATCTGCATTATCTCATTAACTCTTTGACATAATAGTTATTCCTATCTTAGATGTAGGGAAACTGAGGCTCAGGAAATTACGTGAATGGCTAGAGACATATAGGTAGTGAAAGGGCAACGACAGGCTCTTTCAATTCTTCTTGAAGAAAGGAAGGAATGGAGGGAAGGAGGGAGGAGCAGTGTTCAGTTTCTGGGTCACCATTTACGAAGCGTGTGAGCTCAGGCCAGCCACTTCGCTTCTCCGGGCTTTAGCTTCTTCCAATGAAAATGTTTCTTTGCGAGTCTAGATTTCTATAACTCAGTGATTTCCCGCTTAGTGTCTTCAGACCCCAGTTTTACCTGTTGGTGTGTATTATGGATCGCATTGTGTCCCCGCCCTCCCAAAGTCACATGTTGAAGTCCAGCACCTCAGAATGTGAAGGTATTTGGAAATACGGTTTTCAAAGAGGTGATTAAGGTCAAATGAGGTCATTAGGGCAGGTCTTAATCCAATGTGACTGGTGTCCTTATAAGAGATTAGGACATAGATACAAACAGAGGGAAGACCACGTGAGGACACAGGGAGAAGACAGCCATGGTCGAGCCCAGGAGAGCAGCCTGCGAGGTAACCAACCCTGATGACACCTTGCTGTCAGACTTCAAGCCTCCAGAAACTGTGAGAAGACGAATTTCTGTGGTTTAAGCCCTCGCACCCTCCCCCATCTGTGGTGCTTTGTTATGGAGGCTTGAGCAAACTAATACAGTAATAACCCAGAACTTACACCAAATAGCTATTGTTCTTCAATAGATATCAAAATAAGGACTATTGCCAGGGATGCCAAAATGCTTCAGGTAGCCACATTTGTGAAAATCCTATCAGCTGCCTTGCAAAGATTTCCGCTTGAACCCAGTGTCTGACCCAGAGCACTTTTCTGAGAATCACGGGTGGCTGGAGAGACATGGCCAGCACCGGCCAGGCTGCCGTGGGGTCAGGCCACCAGCCTTTTCTACAGCCCAGGAAACTTTGGGCATAAATGAGAGCACAAATGAATAGATTAATATGTAAATCTGCCAAATACAGCCAGATGAAGAAAGTGCTACGTCAAAACTAAAGAAAGAAGTAGCCCATTTTTCCTTTTGAGATGCGGATTCGTGAGTTAATGAATGTGAAACACAGCACCGCCTGGAACATATCAAGTCCACCAGAAAAGAGTTATTATATTTTCATGATTATGACTGAGTCATTGTAGTAACTAGGATATAATTTTCCTCAACTAAGATCCCTATGGACTTTCCAGCTCAATGTCCCTTTATCCTTCGGTATCTTCTTTCAACTCATGACATTTCTCATTAAAAAAAAAGTTTAATGTGATTTTTAAATGCTTGGGATGAAAGATTCCTTTTCTTTAAGAGAATCCATTCCACAAGTGGAAGCCATGTGCATTAACATGTGCCGGCAGAGCCCCTGGGAGATGTTGTTTCATTTGCTCTCTCTTGTGATCCTCGAAAAATTCTGGAAAGGACCCATTATTGAACCCCTTTCATCAGAGAAGCACCTGAGACCTGGAGAGGTTACAGCTTTCTTTCCCAACGAGCCATATTTTGATCTCCTAATAAATAAGAGAACAGCAACTCTGTGATCACATCCTAATGACATCCCGTCAGATTGTCATCTGGCTCACTGTCTGCCTCGGCAGGTAAACAGCTGTCACCTACAACGTCCCATGGTGAGCTGCCAGGTAAGCTGCTCTAATTATTGTCAACAGGAACCCCGGAAGGATTCCAGTGCCGAGTCTAAGAAGACTTTTGTATGTTATTAAGGAATTTTCTCCTCCCGTGCATCCTCCAAGCAAGAGATTCCTTTCCATGTGTTGACGTAACGCTTACCTGCGTTTTCTATGAACGGGCATTACTCTGTGCAATTAACCACAATTAACTAACTTGACCGATTTAATCCTCATAGCAACCCTGAGTGTGAGGTAGATGCTGCCCATATCTCCATTTAACAGATGGTGAAACTGAGGCACAGAAATGTTAAGTGACTGGCCCATGGTCACAGCTAGTACTGGGCAAAGCTGGGGTTCCGTGTAGTCTGCAAAAATACTGACTCCCTCATATAGTCTCAAATGCAAGTGACCAAATGCAAACAATCCACAGCCCACTTGCAAACAGCCCAGAATAATAGTCCACACTTACGCAGAGCTTACTACCCAGTGCCAGGTACTGGGTGGAAAATTACCATTTACAGGTAGTTCTTCCTGACTTTCCGCTGAAGGAGCCCCACCCTGGTCTAAGAGTGGGACAGTTTAGATTGCTCTCAGTTCCCTCAGCCCTGTCAAGGTGTGAGCCCTTTGGCTTGCTGAGGAAGACTGTCTTATCTTGAAAAAAAAGATAAAAGAATTGGATACAGCGGGACTCTGTTGAATGTGTGCCTGCTAGTAGCTGCTTCACCTGGCGCTCAAAGAAAGAAACAGCATCTTATTCTGCAGGGAACCCGTAGTGAGACGCGGGGTTTCAGGGTAATTTGGATTCTATGTGGCTTTTTGGCTGCCTTGCACACTTTACAATTAACCACACAAACAATGCAGCAACACTTATCTCAAGGGAGTTATTTTGAGTGTAAGATGAGATGATGTCAACAGAGGGCAAGACACTTAGAGGCAGATGCTCAATAAGTATCGTTCTTCATCTTAAGTGGGTCCTGAAAGCCCTCTCATCAGATCTGTGTGTCCCGGACATAGGCGAGAAAAAGCTCACACGGGGCGAGGAGATTCGCAGAAGCCCAGACAAGGTCCCCCCGGAAGACAAGCACACAGAAACCTCTCATGAGCACAGAAGGCTCACATACACCTCTGAAGAAAGAAGTCTGGAAAAGTCCATCTTGCTGCATATTAGGTATCCGGGTCCTCCTGTTAGCCACGTGGCTAGAAACTCATGTCTGAATTCCGATTTAGGGCGTATCCAGTGTATTAGTTTCCTATGGCTGCTGTTACAAAGTACCACAAGCTTGGTGACACAAGCTTGTGTTGTTAAAACAACAGAAATGTATTCTCTCACAGTTCTGGAGGCCAGAAATCTGAAGTCAAGGCATCGGCAGGGCTGTACCCCTTCTGGAAGCTCTTCCAGCTTCGGGTGGCTGCCAGCTTTCCTTGGCTCGTTGCCACGTCACTCTAATCTCTGTGTCCATGGTCACACTTCTCCCCTTCTCTGCATGAATCTCCCTCTGCTTGTCTTATAGGAGTACACATAATTGCTTTTAAAGATAGCTTAGGATAAGTTCCTCCTCCCAAGGCCCTCGACTTAATCCCAACTTGAGCCATGTAAAGTAATAGTCACTCTTGATATATAAGGTATCATTCACAGATTCTGGGGGCTAGGGTATGGCATATTTGAGGGGACCACTGTACCCATTTGCTCAGTCCTTGGCCAGGTATTAATTTGATGCCTATACTGTGTTAGACTCAGTGCTCCATTCTGGGGACAGAGAACGAAGTAAAGTGGAGTCCCTGTGAATCTGTGCCCGCCTGTGTATGTATGCACCCAAGCAGCGGCAGTATTGGAAATACTTAGCAACAGGTAGAATGCCAGCCCTGCCAGCCAGAGAGACATCTGCCATTCAGGGCCTGCAGAGCCTCCCCTGCCAATGTCAACTCTGCCTCGGAGCTGAGGAGTCACGCGTCAACATTTCTGTGAGAGCTCGTAGAAGGGAGCAATGTCCATCAGAACCTTCCCTGTCCCGCAAATGTTTATGATCAGTGGCTGATAATTATGACAGATGTTTACTTGATAAATTAAACTTTGAACACTAGAAGGCACAGACCATTAACCCATGGGTTTAGTTTTCACTTTCCTTGCCTGCTTCTCACCTCCCTCTCTCTCTCTCTCTGCATTTATCATTCTCTCTCTTTCTCTCTGTTCTTCTTTCACTCCTGTGTGTGGATCCAAACAGATGTATTGACCCTCGGTAGTGAAACATTGCTGACAGCTGGTATAGAGGGCAAACATAAAAGCTTTCGACAAATTTTAAGATCCAATATTAGGATGACATTTGCTGTCCTCCTGAAAAAAGTCATTTAATGTAAAAATAAGAGTTTGGTTATAATCTTTGTAAAAGTCTCTTTCAGGTAGCATATCAGCTGCAGGCCTATCACCAGACGTCAATAATAAGAAATGACAGTATAATTTATTGTTCCTGCCTCGCTTGCTCCCTACTGGTTAAAATGACAATTTCATATAAAGTGTCATCCATGAAGCCGATTATAAAAACAATTAAAATTGAATTCATTATTTCGGGACCCTCCTAAAGAAAACAGGAATGAGAATACAAAGCATTTTCCTTGTAAAGATTAATACCAAGAAAGAAAATTTCCTTTGTGCCATGTGGGTGAGCCAATTTTGTAGAAGAGCTCTACATGAAAAGTTTTTCCTCTTCAATCACTTTTTGTTTTGTCACGTATGAAGAGAGGGGAAACTGTCTTTACTTTATAACCAGAAATAATATAAAAATTTCCTTTCTTCCTAAAGTCTTCAGTGATAGTCTATAAACTTCTCCAATGGCTTCATTCCTCTTTCCTCGTGTTCGTAGCAAACTCAGACAGGAGGAGGTTATAATAATGCCTGACACTTATTGAGCACTCACTGTATACATAGCTGTCTTCTAAATGCTGTGTATGTTATTAACCCTCCCTAGGGCCCTCAGAGGCCTTTGTGAGAGCTCAGAGGTAGGTCTCAATATTACCATCACTGGAGATGGAGAAACAGAGGGTGTAAGAAATGTGCCCAAGGACACACAGCGTAGGTGGGAGAGACCAGCTTGGATCGCAGGCATGTGGGCTCCACAGGCCCTTCACTCACGACTACTGCAGCAGACCCATTACTACCCCCATTGGACAACGGGGCAACCTCCTCCCCTCAGCATCACGCAGTAACTAATATTTATTGTTTACCTACTAGGGGTAGACAGATCGCTTCTCTCATTGAAAACTCTGCAGAGATCCAGTAACAGGCCCAGAGGAGCAAGTCACGTACAGACTTAATCAGGAATCTCTTAGTGGGAAAGACAAAACCCAACTCAAACGCGCTTAGGTGGGATAAAAGGAGGTTTGTTGACTCAGACACCAGCAAGAACAGGAATGAGTGGATCCCGGGACTGGTCACCTTCAGGAGATTCATCACGCCACACCCCTTCCCCCCAGTTGTCCCCAATGGGGGACCCTTCCTTCAGGCTGTGTCATCTCTACCATGGTCTGTTGAAATCACCCAGAATGTAGAGTCCATTTCAAGTCTCTATCTTTGACAAAGCACTTCCTGATTCCTCTAAAGTTGAAATAATCTTACTCTCCAGCAAATTACCACAGAACTTTATCTGTACACCTCTAGAAACATAAAAGTGTAATGATCTGCTGTTTATTGCGCAAGAAGCCCAGGAAAGGAACCTAAATTAGCTAAGAATTACCAGTAGCCCTGTGGTCATCATCAGCCTTTTTAATTGCCCTAGATAGAATTATTAGAACAGAAGAAGTTTGCAGGAGGGAGAGTTCACCGCAAGCCTTTTCCACCAATTTACTAAGTGAAGGTGAAGCCTTCATCTTCTACATTGTGGTTTGTCACAATTATGGGCGAGGTAAGGGAGGCGCCACAGGTTCCCCGTGGCTGCCTGCTGTGCGATGAACTCATCTAACTCATCTGAACGGTTTACTCTAGGAGCCTGTGATTACAACAGGAAGCTTGAGGGAGCCCTGACTCTGGTAAACGTGGGAAGCTGAGAGGGCTGCTGTCGGCCTCACCTTTGGTCTCCCAAGTGCCTTTATTCTCCCTTATTATCTGATCATTCTTATCACTCACCCTTCAGGAGCTTGACTGACACGTCTAATTTTTGAAAACTCACTGTCTGACACACCTTTACAATCGAAAAGCTTTCTAATGAGCTAACCTCTTTTCTAAGTAAAACTAAACATCTGTACGAATTTACCCTACAGACGCAGAAGGTATCTAAACTTTCATGAACTTTCCTTTCTGTGTTTCAGAAGTTTGATTCGGTGGAAGACATCATTGAACACTACAAGTATTTTCCTATTATACTAATTGACGGGAAAGATAAAACTGGGGTTCACAAGAAACAGTGCTACCTGACTCAGCCACTTGCTCTCAGCAGACTGTTCTCGCCTTAGTAGCTCGGCATTTGTTTCCTCTTCAGCTCAGTGGATTCAGTGCCTCTGTCATTTGCCATTTATTTCAAAAGATTATTTTTTGTGGATTTAAAGGATGACTTCTTTGACTTCGTAAAAAAAAAAAATTCTATAATGGAAATTGGAAAATCAATCATGGTTTTGAAAGCTCAAGCCCCAAAAGAAATATTTATAAGATCCAAAAATAAAACCTAGCTTTTAAAAAATATCTTCTAAAGACAAAACTGTAAAGATAGTCCTGCTCATGTTATAGCTGAGCAGCACACATTACAAGAAGCTATTGCTTAAATGTTTGCAGCTAACACAGGACGAGTCATGGTGAGATTCCCAAATCTACTCGTATGCTCTTTTATAGGACCTGGTGCGGCCTTTCTTTATTTCCAAACTGTTTGGACTTGAAAATGTCTAGTATTTTCATGATTCCTTCCGCTAAAAATGTTGGCAAATGTTAGCTCTATTTTATTTGGAATCCTGGAAATGCAATTATAGGGGAGGAATGTGGTATAGAAAAAAGAACATGTGTGAATATCACTTTAAAGACAGAAATCAGAAATGCTTTTACTATGGTGTGAAATGGCCAGTCTCCAGGATACTCTGTTTAGAGTAGCTTTAAAGCAAATGGAATTAGCAGGCTCGTATAATAAGGGACTGAGCTGAATCGGAGAGAAAGTATCGTTTTTAAAAATTAAAATTGTCAACTTCCATTCGAAAGAAAACGACTGCCCTCAACTTAGTGCTATCTTGCACACGTCATGTAGTCCCACTCTAGGCTAAGAGGATCAAATTGTATTCCTGTTTCACAATACAGATGAAAAAAGAGAGGCTCAAAGGAGTTATTGATTTTAGCATAAGAAGAGAGCCCAGATTTTTATCCATTTTGCCTGGCTTGTTCCAAGCACATTTTCCCAGGTATAGTCCTTATGCTATGAAATGTTGCAATCAAGTTGAAAAGATAAATTACAGAGAGGAACAGAGGAAGAGAGAGAGAGAGATAACTTGAAAAGACAGGTTTATCTAATATATATATATATATATATATATATATATATATATATATATATATATATACTCTTATAACAGGGTAGTTTTATATTTGTTTTTGTTTTTTAAAGAGTTCTGGTTGAAATTAAGAGTATATAATGACTTCTAATGTTATCAAAGCCTACATGTGAAATTCATGGAGTATTTATGTAATTGTAGCTTTCATGCAGAAGGAAACCAAAATAGAATTAGAAGGCAAGAGACATCCATGAAACTAAAACAAACAATGCCCAGTGTTATCTCTTGTCCAAAATAGCAGACAATGAGCACTCTGAGAAGAGTTCCTAGCATCTACCAACCAGCCGAGCTGGTACACAGGCTCTCTCCTTTCACAAGGTCAATGTGAAGTAATGCCTCTTAAGTTCTATCAGCAGCATCTGATGAAGGTGCTCCTTGTAAAGCTGGAACTCTTGACACCCAACTGAGCCTAATTTAGAGTATATCTGCACAGAGTAACATGGGAACCAAGAGACAAGCGTGTTTAGGTTGGAGCCTGGCCACTAAGGAGCAGACTGATCAGAGCTGAAGGCAATTTGGTGGCTGTTCACGCTCAACTGGGTTTTAGCAAACTCAGGCCAGCATGTAAACAGGCTCTGTAGGGAGATCACAGGCTCCCGTGCAGGGAGAATCTAAGCTTCACTCTAGAAAGCTACTGAGATTACTGAGATTCTGATTCGCTTATTCACTGGGGCTGTGCCATTCCATGCTGTGTTTTCAAGAAATGTTTCTGAGTTTCCTCTAGCACTGTTATGATGAATAGGTGGTGGCTAGCATTTTATGAGGCTTATGTTTTCAAAAAGGTTTTATTACCTCTTATTCATAAATGCACAATATGCTGCTAAGAGGGATTAGAAGTAGAAACTGACCATCTTAAAATGCCCACAATACTTACACATATGAAAATCTATGAAAAGAAATGGAAAATTTAAAATATTGACAGGGGTGGCTTTAGATCTTTAGGGTTTGAGGAACCGTGGTAGCTGGGTCTTCTGGAACTCAGATGCCAAGACAGGAGTTAGAAGTGCACACATTTATTGGAAGCAATGCCTGAGAAAGATAAAGGGGGGCAGGGACAGGAGTAGGCAGGGAGTGCCTTCAGGCTGCGACGTAGGTCTGACACTTGTGGGAGGAAAGGGGGAAGGAGAGAGGATGAGGAGGAAAGCATCAGACTGAGATGCAGCACTGGAGAGCCTTGGCCAGCCCACTGGTAAGACCCAGGGTAAAGTTTACCCATGAAGAAGAGCCCCATGTTGGGCAGAAATGGCTAGGTCTCAGGCACCACCATGCTAAGTCATTGCCAGGGGCTGTCCAGGAAAAACATGACATTCAAATGCTAGGGGACACTCAGAAGGCACTGCGGCTGGAAGCTGTCAGGTAACTCAGGGATCAGCAAGTTCTTAAAAGGGAGACCGAAGTGGCCCATCTCCATGTCTGCCGAAGCGACATTCTGGCTCTCAGTGTTGCCTGTAATGACATTTTGCTTGTAATAGATTACTAAAGAATAAGGATATATACATTTTAATTGTACTTGATTCTTACAATAGTTCTATAAAGAGGGCAGGGCAGGTATTCTTAACCCATTTTATAATTGAGGAAATGGTGCCTCCTTGGCCAAAATCTTACAGTGACATAGCCATGGCTGGAACCAAGGTCTTCACACACACATACTTCTCCATTCAGTGTCTAGCTGCTCATTGAATCTGTAATTAAAAGTTCAGTGCTTTGGTCTCGTCATGCCCAAATTCCAAAGGGCTTTGAACCTTCTTCAACTATTATTTCATTTTCAGCTGAAAAGTATCACTTCATACCTAGCCTCAGTAGGGCAGTGGCATTTTAGCTTTAATTATAGCATCCAGGCATTCAAGAATATTTCTTTTGACTAAATAGTTCCCATTTGGACCAGTTTATATCTTAATCTTTAATAACATTGTATTACAAGCACTTGTTTGTGTGTGAATATGTATTTGTTCCTAGGCAGTCTTGTAGGTATTGGAATTATAGCAGTGTATTAAGGAGAAACAGCAAGTAACTACTCAGTAAATAAGATAATGTGAGTTGGTTTCCCATTACTCTGTTGTATTTTCATTTTAACACTTATCACTGAGTGCTTGTAGTGAGGCTAATATCAGATACTTTGCTGAAGCTTATTTGAGATGGCTTTAAAAAGTTTTCAACCGGAAAATGTTTAAATTTTCCAAATTTACTTAATGGAAAACTCCCCCTATTGGGTAATGTGTGTGTGTGTATGTGTGTGTGTGTGGGGGGGGGTTGTGTTTGAGTAACTACATCATACCTGAAATCAATTAAGTATTGTGTTCTAATTTCTATAGAGGAATCAAATTTTACTCAATAAGACGGTTTATATTATAAATGATTAGCATTATATTTGTGTATTTTTTTATCCTGAGTAATATTTGTTCTAAATACACTTACCTTTTTTTAACATTTATGATCTACAGCTGTACTAACTTAAATGAAAGCAAATATGTAATTAAATGTCTCTGTAACTATTAGAAAAAGGAATCCAAACTATAATTTAATTTTGTTTCATGCCCTATTATTCCTGAAGCCCTTTTATAATCACATTTAGAATAAATTTATGACAAAATTTCTAGAATAATTTTTGACAGATGAGCATTAGTAAATGCTAGATGTGGGGTATAAAGATGAAAAAGAACCTAATCCCTAGGATTGGGGGCTAAGAGCCTGGCAGACAAGATACACATGGAAATTAAAAGCATACAATGCAGAATAATAAATTTGGTCATTCTCTCCCTTGTACGACCGTTGGTAAGCAGAAATGGATGAGGGACGGTGCCATCCTGTAGTCAGGGTAAAGCTGCGGGGTGCGGGGGGAGGCGAGGGGAGAATGTTCAATCTGAGGGTTGGAGGATACCCCAGAACACAAGCCTTAGAGGTATACACACTCCGTCAGTCTGTTTTTGAATGCTCGTATTTTTAGGGCACTGTGCTAGGCCATTCTAGTCTTCTGGTCGATAGTCAAGCAGTGGCCACCTATTGAACGGACAAGTGAACCCAATAGAAGCAACATCCACAGGGAAGGACAGGTGATTTATGAAGTGGTTCTGGGGAAATTGGCTCACCATATGGGAAAAAACAAAAATACAACTATGTCTCTACTTCAAATCGTATCCCAAAATAAATTTCCCACGGATCAAACAGCTGTAAGTGAAAAAGCAAACTTTAAATTGAGTCTTGTATTTTTCTAATAATTTTTATGACTTTGGGATAGGGCAAGAGTTCTTAAAACTAAAACATGAATCACAAAGGGAAAGATTGATAGGTTCTTTACACCAGAATTTAAAAGTTCGCAAAAGTTAGACAACGTCACAAGGCAATTAAAAGCTGGACAATGGACCCACACAGAGGGAGGCTTTAGCCGAAATGGTTAAAGAGAGGCCAGGGGGGTGAGCAACCCCCAGGAGAACAGCACGTGGATTTCCTGTCTCCCCACTAAAAGAAAGTGAAATGGGTAAATGAACTCTAATCCATCCCTCTGTGCTTCTTGAGAGGCTTGTGGAGGCAGAGCAATCACCTAGGAGCCTCCCTCAGGCTTCATGCTTATCTAACAGCTACCTCTACAAGAGTAGCCGGAGAAACGCCAATTAAAGTAACAATTGTACAGCACCCTTCCTCCATCAGATTGGTCAAAATTAAGGATTCAGATAGTATCAAGAACTGGGGAGGATGTAAAGAAATAAAACTTCTCAACTACTAGTTAGAATATTGTCTGACAGTTAGCTTTTTTATTATTATTATAATGTAAATACCTGACATTAAGCTTTGGCTGCAGAAGCATCCATTTCAAAGACATCCATCTGGAAGAAACACATCGCCAGCTACACCACCAGGTGAAGAGCCAGGCTGCCCGCCTGTGAAATTCCCCTTTTAGAAAGCCCTGGGTTGGGCCGGCCGAGTGGCGCGATGGTTAAGAACTGGCTTGGGACGCCAGAGGGCCCCGGTTCGGATCCCACATATGAGGGCCAGTGACACTGCC